ACCACGCCGGGCACGCTGGGGGCGGGGCCACGGTCATCTGAGGGAAAACTCTATGGTTTTCCCTCGGATGGTTGTGGCCCCACCCCAGCGTGCCTGGTGTGGTCGCGTCACTTCCGGGCGACGGGGTTGCGCGTGCACACTCCCGAGGCAGCGCTGGAGTCCCTCGCTCCAGCGCCACTTCTGACTTGGCAACCCTATCCAGCTCCCATAGGTTATAATGGAGAATCAATCTGGGGGTATCTAGGACTGGGGGGGGTTAGGTAGAGGCACCAAATTTGCCGCATGGCTGCTGGTGCCTCTCCTCACACACACACACACACAGTTTCAAAAAGATTGGATCATAGAATTGCACCCCAGAAGGAAGTTCCCCCATCCTCCATTGTTTCCAGAAGCAGAAATCCCTGTGCTGCCTGTTAAAATTTTGTGCACCAGCACCCCCTAGCACAGTTTAAGGGAACTTGGCCACTTTGCTGAAATATTTTCTCATATATTGTAGGCTATTTAGCCTTTATTTTTATAATAACAGAGTGCCTTGGGGGCACATGTTTGGGGCAAAGGCAGTTCAGATATGCACTAAATAAATTAGATAATAGTGGTGATCCACAAACATTTCTGAAAGCATTCATGCAGAGTGGAAGTATTTATGCAAAGACACAGCAGTTCCAATGTTTCCACTTGTGACAAGAGGCTATGCAGCCCACCTGCAGAAACTGAATAGCCTTTGGGGTTTCGTGTTACTTTTCTCAAGCACAAGATACAGAAGGGCACATTTGGATCCAGTAAGTGAAGATGGAAAGTGCCATCAAGTTGCAGCTGACTTATGTTCAGATCTGGTTTACTGTCACCTGCCTCTGCTTAGCAACCCTTGACTTCCTCTAATGGTCTCCCATCTAAGGACTAACCAGGGCCAACCCTGCTTAGTTTCCAAGATCAGATGAGATCGAGCTAGCCTGTGCCATCCAGATCAGGGCAATCCAGTTACTTGACAAGAATCCCAGCTAAACCAGTACAGGCCACAAAACTGTTTGAGATGCTTACTGAGCATGTATAGGGGCTGTTATACATTTTTTTAATAAATGAAAGTTCTGTAATATTTATCTGAATTAAGTACCAGGTTTTTGTTTGTTTGTTTGTTTTACAGTTATATTTGGATCTCTAAACCAAAGTTACTTGGCATCACCCGAGTGATAAGTTAACATGATACATTATATATAAAATGAATAACTTCAGTATAAATTACAAATACAATACAAGCACTGCATTATTCAATGATGGTATTGTTATGGGTAAAATTCATTATATGATGAACTTTTTTTCTTTCCATTAGTATGAAAATGAGGATGAGACTAGGGAGAGCAAGAAGATTCACACAGAAGAAGAATGTTCCTCCTATTTATTTTCCTCAGCCCAGGTTATTTCAACAGCAAATCATTGCAATATGATCAAAAACAGGTATATATTTTTCAGTATTGGATAAAATTCTGCCTTAAGAGCATATAATAGAAATTTGGTATCTAAGGGAATGGATATCTTTTAATTAGTACAACTTGGATGAGAAAGTGTTCACCACTGGTTACAATTACCTGATTTTATGTACTTTTTAATGTTTTGTTCTATGAAACAGCTGAAACAGTTATGAATAACTATAGCATCAATAGTTATGTTAAAACTGTTTGCTTTTATTTTTACCTTCTTCCATTGCCAAGACTCAGTCTGGGTAATAATTTAAAACAGGCATATTCTGCAGCATAAACCCCCCCCCCCATTAATGCTATAAACTTCACCCCAAGCACCTTACATTGGTCACCAAATCCCTCCCATTCCATATAGTGGCCCCGTCACACGGAGCATTAGGCACGCTAGAGAGATGGAAGATAGGCGGATTTTCTGGGCGCGATCTCACTGCCACATCTGGGAAGCGTACAGCTCCCGTGGCGCACCCGAGGCTTCCCACCAAAGATGCAGGGTAAAAAACTAGTACCTCGGAGGTACTAGTTTCCGGAAACCGCAGGGCAAGGCCGGGCGTCTGATCGCGTTTCCCGTGGTAGTTCCGGTGCCCGCCCATGTCCCGTCGCAAAAATGGTTTTTTCCCCCAAGTCTCCACGGATGCGCAGAAGCACCCAATGGAGCATGCACATATTTCAGTTTTAAAAACAAAACACAACCCCGTTTGGCGCACCGCTCCGCTTCTTTGCCGCATCGTGTGATCGGCACCTCCCCCCTAACCACGGGAGCTCGACAGGACCTCAACCCGACACCTGATCGCGCAGTCGTGTGGCCGAGGCCAGTGTTGTGCAAGTAATTATTTGAAAGCAACAATGTGGGTACTGTACCTAACAGCAAACCAGTTGTGTGACATGGCTCCAACATGGTTGTGCTGATTGCAGCTGTCCCTTACAAACCCCAAAATAATGACTGCATTGATAGAAATCACTACGGTCTTAGTTGAAACCTTACAAACAGGTTGTGACTTTTCAATTGTGGCACCATGATTATGTAACTCCCTCCATATAAATTTGTTGATGCCAAATTTGTTATCTTTCATGCAGCAAGTGAAAACGTTTTTCTCCCAGGCCTTTAGATTATTTATTTTGGAGTGTTTTATCTGCTGGATTTCGTGCTGTGCTTTATATTTACTTCCCAACCATGACCCATTCTTGACAACTAAATCCTTTTGCTTGTTGGTGTATCACTGAAGGAGGCTTAATTGGTTTTACTTTTGTCTGCTAGATAGTTGGTCATTTAATTTTATTGTTATTGTTTTATGCTGCTGGTTTCTCTTTTTATATGTTGTGTTTTGCTGGTAAACTTATTGAAGCATATTTTTAATGGAAACGTGATCAAAAGTTTTAAATAAATAAAGTCAGTTGAAGCAGTGATCGTGCTGCTGAGTGAGCTTATGAATTGGCCTTCAAACTGAACATCAAATAGTAACTGTTGGAAACATACTCCGCAGGATGGCTTACCCCTGCATCTGTCATAATATACAGAGTTGAACATTACATTATTCTAGGTGCCTGGTGTACAGAGGACCCAGTCTGGCACATCTGTTTTTGGGAAATAGCTGATGTTGTCACTGACACTCTTTATGCCAGCTTCCAAAAGAACATGATGACTGGTGCTGTATATCATGGCTGCAGTGAGGTCAAGTCATCACACAGAAGTTGCTCCCAGCAGACTCTGTTTTATTCATAAAATCTGCTCTGATTCTTAGCAAGCGATTCTAAGCTGGTCTACATGGAAGACATTCTTATTTTATTCCGTGGGGATTACTCCCAGGAAAGCACTCTTAGAATTGTACGATTAGATTATTTCCAAAAGGTGTTCAGGGGCTCAGATCAAACTTTATTCATTTTTTATATGTAGAAGTTTCTGTGTGAGCCCTTCCATGTTGAAGATCGTTGTGTGTGTGCCATATTAAGGGCTCCCTTTTTTCTGTGGCAAAGTTGCCATTTCAGTGAAAGATTTGATGCATGGCTTCTGTGAGTATGTCAGATGGCCAAAGCAGCAATATATCTTGTCTCCTATGTAGTTCAGCAGTTCTTTTCATCTGGAGTATCATAGAGTGCAACATACCAGTCATAGTGTTCACTATATGTGGGATGGCCTTCTGTAGTATTATTCAATGGCTCCATGTACCCTCTCTGGGACTCTGTATTTTAAGACAGGAAAGCACTCTTAGAATTGTACGATTAGATTATTTCCAAAAGGTGTTCAGGGGCTCAGATCAAACTTTATTCATTTTTTATATGTAGAAGTTTCTGTGTGAGCCCTTCCATGTTGAAGATCGTTGTGTGTGTGCCATATTAAGGGCTCCCTTTTTTCTGTGGCAAAGTTGCCATTTCAGTGAAAGATTTGATGCATGGCTTCTGTGAGTATGTCAGATGGCCAAAGCAGCAATATATCTTGTCTCCTATGTAGTTCAGCAGTTCTTTTCATCTGGAGTATCATAGAGTGCAACATACCAGTCGTAGTGTTCACTATATGTGGGCCGGTCTTCTGTAGTATTATTCAATGGCTCCACGTACCCTCTCTGGGACTCTGTATTTTAAGCTTTATGAGATTATTATCTTGGCACTCACAAGCCTCCCAACAACCCTCTTTGTGCTCTGAGGTGTGGGTTGCCAGCTCAGTTGGGAAATTCCTGGAGATTTGGGGGTGGAGCCTGGAGAGGGTAGAGTTGGGGGAGGGAAGAAAGCTCAGTAGGGATGTGAAGCCATAGAGGCCACCCTCTGAAGCTGCCATTTTCTCCAGGGGAACTGATCTTTGTCTGGAGATCAATTGTAATTCCAGGAAAACTCCACACTGCACCTGGAGATCAGCAACCCTCCTTGAGACTGTAAGCTTAGCCCTATTGCAACTTACTCCTAAGCCTGTCATGGTATTCTACTTCAGTCACTTGAATTTACCAGCTCCATTGATGGAAGTCTTCTTAATTCAGCGCTCGCTCTCTCGCTCTGTGTGTGCGTGTGTGTGTGTGTGTGTGTGTGTGTAAAGTACCATCAAGTCGCAGCTGACGTATGGTGAGCCCAGCAAGGGGCTTTCAAGGCAAGTGAGAAGCAGAGGTGGTTTGCCATTGCCTTCCTTGGAGGTCTCACTTCCAAGTACCAACCCTGCTCAGTTTCTGAGATCTGGCAAGATCAGACTGCCTTCCCTTAACACAACTGCTATGTCACTGGGTTCTGCTAACAAGTCCTGAAGCGGACACATCTCAGGATTTTTTAAAACAAGAGTACATGTTGTTTGTCTGGTTGCTGTGTTGCAAATTAACAACTGGTCCGGTAGAGGCTTAACGTGCAGCATATATAGAAATGATGTCATCAAGGTGTGCCGGCACCTAGAAGCTTACAGCTTCAATGGTGTGTCTTGAGCTATTGATCTCAACATCCTAATGAAGTTGTGCAGGGGCTTGGGGAATCTGTGGACAGAGGCCCAAATATTGAAGTAGGAAGAAAAAAACAAAATTAAAAGATTTACAGTGTGCTGAAGCATTGGAGATGGGGTGTTCAGCTTCTTGTTTATGACTGTTGCTGTTTGGAGACTTCATGAGTGCAACAAGGAGTACAACAGGAAGATGCTCAACCTCTAGTAAAACACACACATTGTAAAACGTTAACACCGAAATTATTATAAATTTAAGAAAAGGCTACAAATGTTATGGCCATAAGACAAGAGAGATACGTTTCCTTTCGCTAGGGATCTCATGGGCACTAGCGAGGAGCCAGTTGTGATTCCTTTCACAGCCCTAATTCCACAGTCTTTCTCAATAGGTATGATAATCAGGAAGGAAACTTGCATTTCCCAGGGGGAAATATTGTCCGTAAAGTACTGAGAAAAAGAGATTAGCTATAGCAGAACCTCTTCCTTAAAGGAAAATCCTAATATGAAGAATCAGTGCAATAAGCATCCTGCTCTACACCAGCATAATCCTTCTAAAATGAGTTCTCTAAAGAAAAATAGAGAATTACTCCGAGACGCACACTGCTAAATTTACACAATATTGAAATATCAAGTAGAAACAATAGGTTGGATCCAGTGATCTGTCAGCTGAAAGAGCCAATAGTCACTGATCTTTCCTATGTTCCTCTTCCCCTGCAGTCTATTCTGACCCCGGGGAAGTTTTTTGGGGGGACTGTGAGACCCATAGGTCAGTAGATGGCTGTGGCAAGGCAAGGGGAAAGTGAATGAAATACCTCTTTCTGCCTCTTCTGTCATCCACACCTGGGGCTGACTGATGGATGGACAAGGCTTGTATGCTCTCCATCCCATGCATTGCTTTTCACTTTTAGGGGGAGTTTAACACCTAACCTGAATTTTTATTTTTGTTTTAATTTATTTGTTTTCAGATGTTTCTATAATCCTGAAGGTTTCTCCAGGTTTGTAGGAACATCTGTCATATCCTTGTATGGCCCGATTGTGCAGAGTGTTTTGACCTGCACAATGGTGCTGAAATTAGATATAATATAAAATTGCCATCAGTGTATGTGGTATACTGTGGCGTAACATAAGCACTGACAGTACTTTGCCTTGAGGAGTTTACAATCTAAATGTAGGTTGGGGGTACATGATGGAAGATGACAGAGGGAGGATGAGGAAGAAAGACACAGAAATAAGGGATGATGGAACAGTTGTATACAAGAATGAAATGTTAGCAAAAGGTACTATTTGACCCCTTCACAAACAGATGTAGCAATTACCTCATAGCTGGCCAGTTTGTAGACTCTTCTTCTTAGTCAGGATGAAGACTTGTTCTTAAGGCATTGTTTAATTTCTTCTGTTTCTTTTAAAATAATGGGATAATTCTGTCTCATTCTTCCAGTAGTTCAAGGTGACTTACAAAATACTGAAAATGGATTTGCAACAGAAATAATTCCACAATTATTAGGGCTTCCAGGATTCCCACTGTGGCAGAAGGCCTCCCTCTAGCAGCTGTTCTTTCTCCTGCCGCTCCAAGTGGCAGCAAAAGAAAATGTGTAAAAAAGTCAGCGTCCTGTGCACTGCTGTGTCATTTCTGGGGGGAAAGTAGCAATTCCAATTATTCTTATAGCTACCCTAAGCCACTTCCAGGTTTTTTGCGGCAGTAACACAGCAGTGCACAGGACATCGGACCTTTCCCCTCATGTCCCTGCCCCTGAACCTCCCACCAGTTGCCAGGCACAGCCTACCAACCTTGACAATTATATATGTGATATGGTAGACGGAGTTTATTAAAGAGAGGAAAGACCATAAAACACAGCTCACCAGTAAAACTACAAATACCATCGAGGGAGAATATCAACCACATGCTGTCTCAAATAGAACTGATTTGCAGGCCTTCCTAAAGGCTGAGAGGTATGACCCCTTCCTCACCCACTTAGGAAGCCAATTCTACACAGTGAGGGCAAAAATTGACCCCACTGCTTGCTGTAACAAGGACATTAACGGAAGGAATTATTTAACTGACCACAGTTGGCACAAACGCTTCTATATGGATAGCTGTGTTTCTAAACACATACTATTCCACTGTGGGGTTGGCATGCCACTACGATTCTCTGTAAACATCCATTGCCACAAAATCCCTTACTACTTAAACCTACATTTTAGCATTCTGCAGATCCAGTGATAAACTTCAGTTTAGAATAATTGTCTTGGCTGATGGTTTTAAAAGGCTGCTTGAAAAAAAACTGTTGCTAAGCTAGGATGTGAGTTCTGTTACGTTACATTCCCGGTTCCCCCAGCAGTGGTTTGGAGCGGGCCTTTTTGGAGGGGGAAAGAGGTGCCAGAACGCTCAAGAGGGAAATGAAGTTTTCAATCTGTAAACTGAAAACCCATGAACTTTTAAGCAGTTTTAAAAGAATTTTGTCGAAGCGGTGGTGGAACGCCGTTCCTGTGTGTTCCCCCATTAAAAAAAACCCTGGTTTGGAGGATTGGTAGAGTTGCCATCTTTGGGTTCAGAAATACCTGGTGATTTGGGGGGGGTGGAGCCTGGCCTGAGGAAGGTGGGATTTGGAGAGGGATTTCAGTGGGGCATAATGCCTTCCACAGCAGCCATTTTCTCCAACTGAACTGATCTCTGCCGCCGGGAGATCAGTTGTAATCAATGCTCCCTCTAAGCTGCGGAGTCTTGTGAGCAAAAACTCTACTTTGTGAGCTACTGGCATTGACGTTGTGAGCGAGTGATTTGGCCGCTGCATCAGTTAGTTTGCTCTGGAGCCCTCCTTCCTGAGCTAAGACAAAAATGTGTGAGCCGGAGGCTAAAAAATCTGTGAGCTGGCTCACCCTAACTCACCTTAGAGGGAACACTGGTTGTAATCCCAGGAGATTGGAAATGTGCTGCCGGATTATACGTTTCCTCCTCTCTTCCCCCTTGCACGCTGCATTCCCTCCCTCTCTCTCTCTGTTTCTCAGCACACCAGTCTGTCATTGGGAAAATGATGTTGTACAGCACTTTCTTCTGGCATTAGGTGCTTTTCAGCTCATTGAAAGATGCTGGTCTTGCATGAGCCAGAGACATGTACTCCACAGTGGAGGACTAGCCCATAACACAGCACTACAGAAGCTGGGTTTAGGATCCAAACCAGTGGGTTTAGACTAGAGGAGCTGTGCATAAGTTTGCACTGTTAAATGATGTTGAGCTGAATCAGAGATCTAGGTCTGGCATACCTCATTCCCCTCTAAAAAGGCTTTGTTAGATAAGAATTGTAGCTGCTGAATTTTGCAATAGGAGTGTAAGTAATAATAATAAACCTTGGTACTTTAGAACATAAGTGCACACCGGTACTTCTCTATTTTCCTTTGTATGCTCCTTTTGCTCTTTGTCATCTATGCTCGTGTGTATCACTTTATCCTCTGGACCTGCATCCAGTTAACTTAACAGCTCTCTGAAAGCCTGGTCACCAAGTTCAAAGACTCCAGCCACCTGCAGGCTTATTTCAGTTTTAGTTCACAGGTGGTTTTATTGCTGTGGCTTATAAAATGTCACCTATAAAGGTAAAGTAGAGCTCCATAATCTAAATTTACTATTAAGAGCTTCATCTGTATTTTCCAACTCGCTTTTAAAAAGATAGTGAGCAACTCCCAATTTATCCCTTTTTATTATAAGTACTTAGGTAGATATTAACCATAGTATTACAGTATGCCCAGGAGGAAAGGTGAAAAAATGTAACTGAGATTTGGAAATTTTCCTCAGTGCTGATGCTTTAACATTGTTTCCGGATTTGGGGGGGGGGGATAGCCAACGTGGTTCATCCTGCCAGTAAATTGAAACTGATAATAATATAAAATTCTATAAAATTCAGAGCTGGCATTTGTGACCCTCCGTTGTTGTAATTTCCATCTGCAGCTTGGCAATACCAGTAAATAAAAATGAGAAAATACTTCAGTCGCCTGTCTCACCCCTCTCTGATGCATCAAAACACAAATTCTTCAGTGTTGATTTGACTTCCTCTAACAGACTGAATGGCAGCCACCTATTATCTTCCTTATCCTCAAGCAAAAAACACAGGAGTGAGATCCAGCCCCACCTACACCCTGGAGATTTCAGTGTAAGTTTGAATCCAGCATGTGAAAAGTAAAACTGGCTGTGGTGTTGTGCGCACATGGAACTCCCTTTGGAGTGCCAGCTCTGGATTGGGACAGATCTGTATATTTGGGGGATGGAGCCTGGGGCAGGCAGGGCTTGGGGAGGGGAGGGACCTCAGTGGGGTACAATGCCATAAAGTCCACACTCCAAAGCAGCCATTTTCTCCAGGGGAACAGATCTTGGTCATCTGGAGATCAATTATAATAGCAGGATATCTCCAAGTACCACCTGGAGATTGGCAACCCCAAACGCCCTTGAAACTGACAAATCTTACATCAATGTTTGTAGCCTTAATCTGTGCACAAAAGAATTGTGCACATGCATCCAAGGACTTTTCTTGTTTTTCCATATCAGTAGCTTTCCCTTGTACCAAGCCATTATTTAAATATGGGAAACTTTAAAAATACAGATTAGCCATTCAGGGAAAACAATCAATCTGCCATGTTTTCATATCAGATCTCATTATAGCTGCAACACTTAACCAATTAATGTTGCATTATTCTATTAAAACATGCCCTTGATTAATCAGATGGCAAATATATTGAAATAATTAAACAAGTACTTTTTGTAGAAAAAGCAGGAGAATGTCACCATGTCAGAAAAGAATTTCCCCCTTCTCTCACGCACAGGAAGGAAAGCCTCTTCTGTGAAGGTGGCTACTCTGGCACAAATATGGACTATTTGAAAACAAGAAGTATGCTCTTTTCTTCAGAACTATCATTTGTATTCATGTTTAGGTTTAAACAGCTAAAACTCACATGATTGATCAAGCAGAAGAATTAGGTGACAGCATTTGATCTCAGACCTGCAGCCCTTTGGATTATGTTTAGGTATTTGTTTTTCTCAGCTACTTTTGCCTAACTTATGAATAGACAACAGTAGCAATCTTTACCGGGTTACAATTTGATTTATGAGATTGTTCCCTTGAATGAAAATGATAACATGGACAGAAAATGTAGACAGAAAATTACCATTTGTATTGGTTGCTTCTGCCTGTGCGGTTCTAACAGTCTCCTTTATTGATGGTCCAGAAAGCAATGCACATCAGTTCAGAACATGGTCTGCTGTACAACAAGGCACAGTACCGAAAAGAACTCTGGTCTCCTACTCCCAGTACACACAAAGACTGCAGAAGAACAAAGCTCAGCTGTAACAATGGGTGAGTAAAGAATAGTACTTAAGCACTACAAATGTAGTAAGTTTCTTAGGAAAATGTGTTACTCGGAGAATTACTGTGGATTTGCACAAATAAGGGACCCACAAGGAAATGCAGAGGTAGGGAAACAACTTGGAAACCCCCCCTAAACTTTTCTCCTTCCAGGATTCTCTGTTGCCAGGGGCTTGAGAAGGCTAGGGCTCTTCCCTCCACCCAAACACACACACACACACACTCACGGGTTCTGAACTGCTCTAAACTTTTTGTTCTCTTGAAGCATTTTCAGTCACCATCAGGCTGGTTGGGGGTGTGATATGTAGTCTTTTTCTTTTAGTTATCATATGTGGGGAACGCTGTAAGAATAGATATACAGTCTGGGCAGGCTATGGGTGGTCCTGTTGCGGCTTTTGTGATTGTAATGGGGGCCAACGGCTTAATATTCAGAGGAACTGCTTTTTTCTTGGCACATTATTAGATGTCAGAAACTTAGACGTATGGCCAGTACGAAAGCAACCGTTTGCTAATAAAGTAAAAATACTTCTGTCACTGTAATGAACACTGTCTTCCCTGAACTCAATAGGGCTTGCTTCCAAGCAGCCATAGTTCAGATAAGGCTGTAAGTCTCTTTATGGGGTCTTTTTCATGTTGTTTATTTATTTATTTAAATTTCTCCCCCCGCCCCCCCATCAAATGGGCTAACAAGCAAATGTTACATTTCTGTGTACAACAACAACAACAAAAGAAAAAGGAGTGGGTATTAAAGGAAGGCTGGGTACCACAACTGCAGAAGGAGGAGGAGGAGGAGGAGGAGATTGGATTTATACCCCGCCCTTCACTACCCAAAGGTGTCTCAGAGCGGCTTACAAACTCCTTTCCCTTCCTCTCCCCACAACAGACACCCTGTGAGGTAGGTGGGGCTGAGAGAGCCCTGACAGAAACTGCTCTTTTTCAAGAACAGCTCTTATCAGAACTACGGCTTCCCCAAGGTCATCCAGCCAGGTGCAAGTGGAGAAATGGGGAATCAAACCCGGTTCTCCCAGATTAGAGTCCACGCACTTAACCACTACACACACCCCAACCAGCCTGATAATGACTGAAAATGCTTCAAGAGAACAAAAAGTTTAGAGCAGTTCAGAATCGTGTGTGTGTGTGTGTGTGTGTGTGTGTGTGTGTGTGTGTGTTTGGGTGAAGGGAAGACCCTAAACGATGGATATGAAAATCCCAAATCTATGCAAACCATCTTCCATTTTATAAAATCCCCTCATAAACAATACATCACTAAATATACAAAACCATGATGATCAGTAACAATTATACATCAATGTGAAATGTATGTCAGTATGGTATTATGAGCTCCCTAAACTCAAGACTCATTTCGAATACTTAATTCTTCCAACTAAATGTAATTGTCAAATGACCATCTCATTAATTCACAGATGAATAAGTCAATTGTTTACATGACAGTCATGACACCAATAAAAGAAAGTAGCTACTTCTTAATTAACTAAAATACGAAGTTTAATATTACTAATGGTTCTGTTAAACTGATTAGGCTGTAAATCTCTTTGTTGTACACCATCGTTTGAAGGTTATGGTTGGCTCTTCACTTGGATATACAGAGGCCCCATAAAAGCTGGGTGAAATAAGCTATGTTTTTGCTTTTAGAGACACTATGAACAATTGTGCTGTATGTAGCTGTGCACTGAAATCTATGTCTGCAATTCAGTGAGAGAGTAAGAGTGCTCATAGAAATATTAAATGTAGAAAATTGTTCTGCTACGGAAGGAAGATGATGGCAGCTGACTGTTCACAATTCTTTATTTTATATTGTAATTTGTAGCAGGCCTAGACAGCTTGTGACCAACCAAGCTAAATGCAGTTCAATGGCAAATGTCTTGTTATCAAGCCCTAGGTAGGTCACCTCTCTGAGGGTTTATCAAGGCGACAGCGCATTGGTTTGATGAGTCCCAAACCATGTAGGCGTGATATACAATGCAGTCCTCAGCAGAGTCGCACCTTTCTAAGCCCACTGATTTCTTTGGGTTCAGAAGGGTGTAACTCTGCTTAGCATTGCACTGTTAGAAGGTAAAAATGGGGGGGGACAGGAAGGAGTATATTGTGTCATAAGATCCTGATATTCAGGGTGACACGACTCTAATTTACCAGCAGAATTCCCAGTGGACTGCCCCCTGGGGAAGGGGCATTGCTGGCAGCCAGGAGCAAGCTGAGCCAAACACCAATGGTACTGGCTGTACTGCAGGGGCTACTCAGCCAGGCAACCAACAGCCACCACAGGTTTCCAGGCAAAGACTCTCTCTGCCTACCATGCTCCCCAGACCCAATCCCAACATCATATGAAAGTAAATCATGTCCTAGTGATGAACAGGGCTTCTGGAATGTTGTCCCCCAGTCTTCCCTCTTAGGAGCCATGTGCTGAGCTTGTTCCTGGACAGTTTTAACACCTCATTCTGTCCTGGTTGATCTTTGCAGAACATGAATTATTTCCATTCACACATTCATGTATATCACTTGCTCTCTCATTATGTATTTATTCGACAATATCTTCCAGCTGAACATAAGCGCTGCCACTGTTGGACAACATTGTGCTTGAGTCTGAACTGGCAGAGACTGATCAAGAGAGAGATCTTGGAGTTGTAGTAGATAACTCACTGAAAATGTCGAGACAGTGTGTGACTGCAATAAAGAAGGCCCATGCTATGCTGGGGATTATTAGGAAGGGTATTGAAAACAGATCAGCCAATATCATAATGCCCCCTATATAAATCAATGGTGCGACCTCATTTGGAATACTGTGTGCAATTCTGGTCACCACACCTTAAAAAGGATATTATAGCTTTGGAAAAAGTGCAGAAAAGGGCAACTCGAATGATAAAGGGGTTGGAACACTTTCCCTATGAGGAAAGGTTAAAGCGCTTAGGACATCCCCCCAAATTTTTTTTCAACTTTTTCGATTTTTGTGCACACGTGGGGACTGGCCCATGTGTGCACAAACCTCCCCCCCCCCAAAGTGCCCCCGGAGCGCTGATTTAGCGATCCGCACTCAGGGGGCAACTTGGCTATTAGATATATAGATGCATGGGAAAGAGCAGGTAGAGAAAGAGGTACTTTTCTCCCTTTCTCACAATACAAAAACTCATGGGCACTCCAAGAAATTGCTGAGTGGTCGTGTTAAAACGGATAAAAGGAAGTACTTCTTCACCCAAAGAGTGATTAACACTTGGAATTCACTGCCACAGGAAGTGGTGGCGGCTACAAGCATGGACGGCTTCAAAAGGGAATTAGATAAGCATATGGAGCAGAGGTCCATCAGTGGCTATTAGCCACAAGGTATAGATAAGGACTCTGGGGCAAGTGATGCTCTGTCATCTTGGTGCTTGGGGGGGTCAACAGTGGGAGGGCTTCTAATGTCCTGGCCCCACTGGTTGACCTCCTGATGGCACTGGTATTTCTGGCCACTGTGTGATACACAGTATTGGACTGGATGGGCCTTTGGCCTGATCCAACATTGGCGTCTCTTATGTTCTTATGTTCTTAGTTGGCAGTGGGTGATATGACAGTTCTGCATGTCTTGATTAATCTGTGATAGTGGAGTCATACATGAACAACCATCAGCAACTGATAAAGGCCCCTCTGAGAACTGACACTAAGGCTTCCCACATACAGGGACAGAGCCTGAATCAGCAGAAAAATCAACTTTATGCCTTAATATACAGGGTGTTATGTACTGTGAATGGTTTTATTTTACTTTGCTAATACTTTAATAAAAATTTCTTTGGATATGCATTTCTCCACATTTATTGTCAACAAGTTTGTTTGTGGTGTGTATTGAACTTTTATTAGTTTTTTTAATGAATCCTCATAAATGGTATACCACGGTGAGATAATAAAAAGCAGACAGTCTGTATAAATTGACAAAGAATCGTAACAGTTTTCTGAAACAAAATATACCAGTTAGATGAAAATAGTTCGAGTGAAGTTAACAATTAAAACTTTTATATTGGAATTTAAGCTAAAACATAGCCAATAAATACTATGCTGTTTCAGGGTAGATTTATTTGCTTGCATACTAGTAGTTTTATTTACAGAAATACATTCATGTATCTGAATTTTTTTACTGCATCAATTTACATTTCTGTTGCATTAGTCTGCATAATCTTTAGTAAATTGCATTCAGTAGTGTGGAAATTCTAGAACAAGTTCAATTAGAAAGAACTGATTTGAACAGAGCTGCCATTACCCACTTATATGTGCCTGTATAATATAACAAGTAGTAGGAATGGTTTATTCCTTGCTGGCGGAACAAGGTTTGAGAGAAATGGGTGGCAATACAGCTAAAAGTACTTCTTTATGGATAGGCAGTAAATTTTTTGATAATTTCAGCCTCGATTAACCTCAGACATTGTGCTGAGATTGCCCTTGTTAAAGTGAATACAGAATTTTAGGGTGTTTTGTGGAGAGATCATTCAACATTTGTAGACTCTCTTGACATTTATCATATTAATTAGAAACAATCATGGCCATATGATTACCCACCACCACCACAGCAGATCTTAATTATACTGTAGAAATGGCGGGAACTTTATACTTTCTATTATCTTTCATTTAACATTTATTCTAAAAAGCTATATATAGTTGTGATTGAATATTTTAAAGATTCACACTAGAAATAATTCTTTTTAAAATGGATGTCTTAATATGTTGGAGGGGGGGGTAAAACTGTTGTTCCTTAAAGCTGAAAGGCATTTTTGGAGACTCAAAATCTGATCCTGTGACCTATTACTCTGGCATGACCTATTACATAGTGAAACAGGTTTAACCTGCTTTGCTTATTAATGTAGTAACTGCCTTTTCAGAAGCTTTTTGCTTAGCTTAGGATGCTGCAGAAGAGAGGGACAGTCAGACTATCCCTAGTCAACACTTCCGCAGTCGCTGCCAGCAGACATCTCCAATGTTCTAATGAAGCATACACAAAAAGTATAGGAGGGAGCGTTTCCTGGCCCATCAGCATATGCTTGTGACCTGCAACTCTACTGACACAAAAAGTATAGGAGGGAGCGTTTCCTGACCCATCAGCATATTTAACAGCACAGTATGCTTGTGACCTGCAACTCTACTGAGACGGGTATTCCACTTCAGAAAACCTCGGATTTTTCCCCCCCCCATCTTAAAATCAGAATGTACTTATTAGACTAAGAATGCCATGTAATTCTTTCAAAAAGAAGTTACATTTGTTTATTGTATCGTTTGGGCTTTATTTGTAATTTCTTCAATATAGTGTAATCCTAATAACACTTTCTTGGGACTAAGCCCCATTGAATTAAGTAGGATTCTGAGTAGACCTGTTTAGGATTGCTCTCTTACAGCACAAACCTAAACAGTGTTACTTCCTTCTAAGCTCACTAAAGTAAATTGGCATATAAGGGTACAACTCTGTTTAAGATTGCACTGCGTGTATTTGTTTCTGATTCTCAGTCAAAATTTGGGAGTCTGTTAAGTGCATGTTAACTGCATATATTTATTTATTTTGAACATGAGCCACTAAGGACTATCCTTCAATGTGTTAACCAATTAGACTCAAATACTTTCTTGTTGTTTTCTCTTCTAGGCCACACAACGTAGATTACTTTATGCAAGAAGCTAAAAGGAAGAAGCATAAAGCAGATGCAATGGTGAGAACATACGGGTTTCAGATAAATTATTTCAGATTATTTATATAATGCCACTCATTCGTTGGGCAAATTTAACTAATTGTAATTTTAAATTCTTTATAAATGATAACCATCATTGTTTAAAGTAACATTAATTTTTTTTGAGAAAAGTAACATTTTTTAAAAAAACTAGTCCATTGATTTTAATATAATGGGGGGAAGCTACTGCTGGTATAATTACCTGTTAGAATAAATAATCAGATCAAAGGTTTGGCTATGTATCCCCAAACCCATATAACATTCCAGGCACCACTATTCCCCTTACACCACAGACCCTGTGCGCCCCCTCAGTTTTCAATTATATCACCAATCTACTGCTTATTTGCAATCTACATTTATTTAGTTTGAAAAGTATGTTAAACTTCAATCCCAGAGTGATTTTAAAATTTTTGGATGGAAAATAATAAAGGCTGTTATTTGTAGTATCCAGGGCTCTTTTTGTAGAAAAAGCCCACCAGGAAGTCATTAGCATAATAGGCCACACCCAACAGCAGAAACTCATTAGCATATTAGGCCACACCCCATGACAGCACAGCTCATTAGCACATTAGGCTGCACCCCCATGTTACCAGAAGTGTGGTTATCCAGCCACACCCACCTTTTGCTTGTTATTCTGTTTACCTTGTTTGTTGTCAAAACCCAGGGCTTTTTTGTAGCAGGAATTCCTTTGCATGTTAGGCCACACACCCCTAATGTAGCCAATCTTAATGAGTTTCTGCTGTTGGGAGTGGCCTATTATGCTAATGAGTTCCTGCTGGGCATGGCCAACTTGGGAGCCAGCCGGAGCTCCGTTCCTGTGCGTTCCTGCCAAAAAATAGCCCTGGTAGTATCAAAAAATTTACTTAAAGCTTGCATAAACTCATCTTCAGGAAGAGTTAGGAAATGTACCCATGCCCCCCTAAAATCTTTTAGCCGAGATTGTTGTGTTCTTTCTTTCTCTTTCTTCCTCTCTTCCTCTCTGTCTCTCCAACAAGACTTTTGTGCTGCCGCTGAGAGCACAGACCAGATGTAACCACAGCTTTTTGCCATTACAATATTTTTACTCAAGTAGCTGGAGAGATCTCAAAAGCTTGCACTCTGTCAGATCTCTGCTGTTGTACCAATATGCAGGGTTAAAAATATTTCCAGACTTCTAATATTGTCTTTTCCTGTGCACAAGACCTAAATAATGTTGTCAAATATTGCTATAGAAAAGAATGATTTGAAGCACATTTGTTCTGAACTTTGGGTGCAAGCTTTGCATACAATGGCTACATGAACCTTTCTTGCTTATTGCCCTCTATGCACTAAAAACTTGCACATTGCGTAGTGGAAGATGCCCTCTACTAGAGACTACATTTCTCTTTGCACATATTTTTATTTGCTTTAACCCCTGCTGTATTTTCTTGTTCTTCACCTGTATTTCACAGTTTTTGGTAAACACTACTATTTATATTATTTCCTCTTTATTGGCATATGGTCTCTCCCCACTGCCACAGCAATAGCTAAATATGTTTCAGAATCTGTAATTCTTTAATATAAAAAAATTGCATAAACCAGCTAAGATATGTAAAACATTTTTCCTAAAAATACTGTTTGGTGATTGCTGCGCTTTCTTTTCTTTGTCTGCAATTTGTCTATCAGGTGGAGAAATTTGGCAAGGCCTTTAATTATGCCGAAGCTGCATTATCATTCATTGAATGTGGAAATGCTATGGAACAAGGGCCCATGGAATCTAAATCCCCCTTCACAATGTATTCCGAAACCGTTGAACTCATCAGGTAAGAATTTGAGGAATATGCTGACTGTTGATTGGATCTTATGTCCATGTAGTTATACTTCTATCAAACATGCATTGAATACTTGTAAACTGGACAGAAGTTACAATTATAGAATTTTAAAATGGTAATCTATGACAATATAATTGCAGGGTCCCTAAATTGCTAGGTCTGATTTAACTTTCTGTGATCAGGAGGGCTAGGGCAATCTCATCAGATCTCAGAAGCCAAGCAGGGTCAGTCCTCATTAGTACTAGTACTGGAGACCACCAAGGAAGTCCAGGGTCACTAGACAGAGGCAGACAATGGCAAACCGCCTCTGAATATCTCATGCCTTGAAAACCCTACAGGGTTGCCCTAAAGTTGGGTATAACCAATCGATCACCAGAAAAACCCAGATTTGCTGAAAAAATTGAAATCTAAGTAGCAATATTGAGGTGTTAGCCTCCCCCCCAAATAATGATAGCAGCACCTGTGCTTGTAAGAAATGAATGCCCTCTGAGATCTCAGTGGCCATTGTGCGGGTTGCTATGCAACCAGTGTCAGTCTTCAAACCTTGGTTTCTGTCAGCACGAGGTGGGGAGAGGGCTCTTTCCAGGTCTCTTCTGGCCTCTCAGTTCAACCCTTCTCCCCTCCCTCCTGCCCTAGAAAGAGAATTCATCAAGGCCAAGGCCGGCACCAACTACCAGGTAACTTGCTGCCATGCAATTTGCACAACTCATCCAGGCATGGCAGTTGATACCAGATGACTTGATGCCACACAGTTCACCTAGATCCAGCAGCAGCCTCCATGCAACTTGCTCGACTTGGCCAGGCCTGGCAGTGGCCACCATTCAACTCACCTGAGCAACTTGCTACCACACAACTTTTGCAACTTTGCCAGACTTTTTCTAGGAAGAGGCTTCCAGGAGGAGAGAAGGAGGGAAAGCTGAGCCAGTATGGGGTAGTGGTGATTACAGTGTCAGACTAGGATCTGGGAGATCCAGATTCAAATCTAAACTCTGCCATGGAAGTTCAATGGGTGAACTAGAGCTTTCATGTCTCTCTCTCAGCCTAATCTACCTCAGAGGTTTATTTTTGTGAGCATAAGATGGAAGACAGGAGAATGGTGTAAGCTGCTTTAGCTCCTCGTTGGGGAGAAAAGGGAGAGATAAATGAAGTGAATAAATAATTAATAAAGCTGAAGAATGTGGAGGAAAAAAAAGTTGGTGAGTGTGAAGTAGAGAAGGCAGCAGGGCAAGAGGAAAGGAGAGGATATGGAGGCTGCCAGGAGGACAGAAAGAGGAAACAGTGTGGGGAAGGGGATACAGGGGGAAATGAAGTGACCACCACAAGTCCTTGAAGGTCCCCCACTTGTAAACTCTGAGTAGTTTGCATTAATATATACAGTATATTGCAATAACGTACAGAGAGACGAAGTCTGGTGTAGTGGTTAGGAGTGTGGACTCTAATCTGGGAGAACCGGTTTTGATTCCCCACTCCTCCACATGCAGCTGCTGGTGTGACCCTGGGTCAGTCATAAGTTCTTTCAGAGCTGTTCTCTCAAGAGCAGTCCTCAAAAGAGCTCTCTCAGCCCCACCTACCTCACAGGGTGTCTGTTGTGGAGAGGGGAAGGGAAGGAGATTGTAAGCCGCTCTGAGACTCTTTCGGGTAGTGAAGGGTAGGGTATAAAACCAATGTCGTTGTCTTCTTCTTCTTAATTAAAAACAAAAAGCATGTACCTGTGGCCATACTCCAGTAGTGGGTCAAGAGGGGATGCCCCCTGAAGCTGCCCCCCATCCATGGCCCACTTCTCGTATTCTCTGTCCTAGTAGCCCATGCGTCTCGAAACGCAGCACAGTGAGCTGTGCATGCACAATATGACTTCTCACACACTCTCACATCTTGTGAAGTGCAAAGATTAAGGTGAGAAAGAGGAAAAGCCAGTAAGTAAGTCATAACCAAAAAAAAATGTAACACAACAAGAATTTAGAGTCCTGGTCAAGGCTTGGTTGTGGAATAAAGGAAAAAATGGCACAATTTAGCTAAACAAGTAATACAAACACAAAAGGAAAGAGAAAAGTAAAAATATGAATGATTATTATTCTCTTCTACGAGAACTCTACGTGTTACTGAATTGCGTTCTAAAAGCATTATTGTACTGGAATTACGCTGGGCAGGCAGCCAGACATTAGAGTGGCAGTGTTGAAAGCGTGAGCACTCAAAGGGGAGTGGGAAAAGCATAAATGTGATAATAAAGGAGAATAGATGTGATGATCTGAGTCCTTGGCCGACACTTAGTAGAAGGATGTTTTGCTGTTAACACTTGTCGATCTGATTTGCTATTCCTTTTCTTGCTCTTTTGAAGGTATGCTGTGAGGCTAAAAACCCATTCAGGCCCTAATGCTACTTCAGAAGAAAAACAGTTAGCAGCATTATGGTTAGTAAATCAATAATTATTCAAAACATGTCTGTTGCTCAGCAAACTAATTCTTGAAGCCAGTGTTTCCTGCTCTGAAAAGTTCCAGCCCCCACTGTTCTGCTTTGTGTGTGTGTGTTACTGTTTCAAAAAATCTGCATTTTGTTTGTATAAATAAGTACCTCATACACATTGACTGTCACAGCGTAGCTACAGTTCTTCCGTGTAATTAATTTTAGCTGCCTGCTGATTCCTGTTTTTATTACTGATACACCTTAACTGTGACAGTGTCAAAGTAATTTCGTTTCTGCATACCACTTTGGATCCAATCATAATGTGGTGTGCTTCTGTTAAATTAAAGTCTAGTATTTTGCTAATGAAATAACTTTAGGCAGCTCTTTGAACTCAGATTTCCAGACTGATGTATTTAATTAGATTTAAGGCTGCTGTTGTAAAATGAAGAAAATAAGATTCTATGAAAATTACAAATATATATGTTTACTGAGTTTCAGCGACCAAAATATTGAATTGAGTAGTGATCTGCAGCCACGGTATTGTTCTAGCTTTCTTTCAGCAAAGTGGTGCTTCAGATGGAAGTGCTTCTGAAGGGCCCAGGAAGTTTGTGTCTGTAAAGAGTACCCATTTTGGAACAGTTACCTCCATGATAGGAAGATCCTTGGCTTGGAATCTCCTAACATTATTTGCGGCCTGCTGAAGTTTTACTACTGGACTGAACTATGGCTGCCAGCTCCAGGTTGGGAAATACCTGGAGATTTGGGGTGTGGAGCCTGGAGAGGGCGGGGTTTGGGGAGAGGACGGACTGTTAGCGTATGAAGCGTCTAGTAACCACACGTACCAGGTTGCTAGTGCTGACTATTCACAGTGGATTTATTTACACAGATATATACACAGTTCATATAGCACTCTCCAACTCCAAATCGCTGTACAATCCGGCAGAGTGCTCCGCAGCAAGGCATTCACAGAGTGAACACCTCTACAAGTACTTTACACACTTATATACATGTTCAGCACCAATCAGTGATCAGTGCTGACTCATGGTGACATCATTTTAGCTGATGCAACTGAGATGCAATCTTAACCTGGTGACATGATCATATGACTCCTTCTGCTGTCAACCAGATCAGAATGATCTCCACCATTTACTTTCTTAGGCTGTCATCTTGCTTCATACCTGATAGTATGCTGACACGAACCTCAGCATGGTACAATGCCATAGAGTCCACCCTCCAAAGCAGCCATTTTCTCCAGGGGAACTGATCTCTGTAGTTTGGAGATCAGTTGTTAAAAGTGGGAGAGCTCCAGGCCCCACCTGGAGATTGGCAACTCCATGTTGCAGATATTTTTGTGATTGGTCCCTCCACTCTATGGCAGCCATGTTGCTGTGACAGCCACTGCCTTTTCTCAAATTACAAAAGTGCCTGAAGGTTCAATAACATTGGGGTCCCCTAAACTAGAGATATAAAGTCTCATAACTGCAGGGGAGATTGTGTGGGTCCTTCAGGCTCATTACTATTGCTTAGCCTTTTGATACCGTTACATGCGTCATTCTGATCTGTCACACTGATTGCCTTGAATCACCAGTGATAAGTAAGGTAGGAGGGGTTGGAACAATGCCATTCTGAGCCATGGGGATGATGTATTATATGCCCTGTGTCACCCCTTGTGTCTCACCATTAGATCAGGAAGTGCTTGTTAACTGTTAAAGCCATTTTTCAACTGGGCCTAAGAGAACCCAGTTTACACTATCTGTCGGTTTGTGACCTGTATACAGTGAGGCAAGCTGATGCACTTTGTTCCACAGGGGGGTCCATGTGAAAACATGACCAGGTAGTTAAAGATCCCTGCTTTGTGGATGGTGTGCCCCATTGTCCTATTCTAAGTGATATTTGTTCCTTGGATGAGCAAAATGAGAAAAAAAATACAGATGTACAATACAGATAAATTATCCTAGAAAACCATTAACAGACTTCACTGAATTAGAATGTATATATAAATACACAGAACCATTTTAAAGGGAAGTATACTAATAAGTCTGTATACTGTTACTAAAATTAGTTTTTATACTAAATCATCTGTCTCTCTAACGTAGTCATACACATTTTTCCTGCCAAATCTGGCTTTTCTGAAGGTTACAAACACAACATGTCCTTCCAACAAAAGCTTAAACTGAAATGTCATGGGCCAAATATTCACCCCGCACACAAACAAAGGAATACCAGAAGGTTGAAACTGTAAATACTGTGCAACGGGCAGTGTAGCAAATAATGAGCTAAATTTTCATCCCTAGTAGAGAAACATCCATTCTGTGAGTTTACCAAACACCATAATTCTTCTTGATGTAATTTATAATCTGAAAATATAACAGATAGAAAGCTTTCTAGACTACAGGTCATTTGCATTCAGTTAAGTAACATCAATAAGCAAAATTCTGTTTTAAAAGCTCCAGGTCTGCAGATAATGGCCTATTATGCATGGTGTTTTCCCTCGCTTTCACCATGCATGTCCGTTGGGTTTTCTTTGTCGTTCTCTCTCAGCCCCTAAAAACAAGCCTAGCTCACCACTGCACAACACTAAGAGCTACAACTTGCAGTTGCCAGACAATCCTGGGATCTCTTGGCTATTTAATACACAATGCCATACTATAATTATTATTTGTCATTCTACATAGATTTTCCTCCCTTTGGCATTCAGTTCACTTTCTGGTCGCTGTTTCCCTGGGTTTTCTGAGAGTGCCTTTGTGCCGATTTTCCCCTTGTTTTGCTTCCAAGCCGAAGGTAATTCAAAAGCAAACAGATTCCCTTGGATTTCCCCCCCCTTGCCCTTTTGCTGCCCCTCAAAGGTCACTCCCCCGCCCACATTGAGGTCATTCCTCCCACTCTGCACCTTCTGCCATCCTCCCCCCTTCATCGGTGTACAAGCTCCATTTTTCCCGCATTGTTTTAAAATTTTACTTTTTTTTTACAAACAGCATGAGTCTAACAATATGAGACTATCGCTAGTCTCCGATTGCGGAATAAAAGAAATTAAAGAGCTGGTTTCATTTAGTGGTTAAGAGTGGCGGACTCTAGTCTGGAGAAACGGGTTTGATTCCCCACTGTTTGTCAATAAACAGATATAGGCTCCGGTCACACGGGCAGGAAACTGCGGGGGGGAAGCGTGGCTGTTTGCCCCGGGGCAAACTAACGCGCAGTTAAGCGATCAGACCTCCTGTGGAGGTCCTGTGGAAGTACCGTGGAGGTTCCGTGGGTAGGGAGAGGTGCCGATCACTGGACACGCCTGCGCGCAACGAAGAAGCGCACGGTGCGGCAAACTGGTTTTCTTTTTTTGTGTACACGAAAAATGTGCATGCTCCGTTGGGTGTGTGTGCGCATCCACGGAGACTTGGGAAAAAAACAAACCCTTTTCGCAAGGGGACATGGGCGGGCGCCAGATGCCACCGGAAACGCAATTAGACGCCCGTCCTTGCCCCGTGGTTTCCGGAAACTAGTACCTCCGAGGTACTAGTTTTTTGCTGCGCGTTTTCGGTGGGAAGCCTCGGTTGTGCCACGGAAGTGCTACACTTCCCAGATGTGCCGGTGAGATCGTGCCCGGAAAATCCGCCTGTCTTCCGTCTCTCTTGCGTTGCTAATGTTCTGTGTGACCGCAGCCATAGTAACATATAAAACAATATATGTAACTATTACATTGAATAACAACAGTAGTAAGAACAATGAGATTAATGAGAATACAAATGCCACACAAAATATCTGGATAAAAAGAATACATCATAAAAAAGAATCAACAACTTTAAATAGTACAAATAACACTTTAATAAACCATTCTTAGTGTACCTAATATTGAAGCGTATTCAGCTTTGGTAGATAAGTATACCAAGAAGGGAAATTCACATAGTTTCTTTATCCATTCAGAGGTGGTGAGATGTGTATTATTTTTCCAAGATTTGGCTATAACAAATCTGGCTGCTGCACACAATAAAGCAATGAGTTCTTTGTATGCTGGGCCACAAAAGTTACATCACATGCAATCATCTCTATTGCCCTTCTGCTGGAGAGGATGTGGGGAAATAGGATCTTATCGACATTGCTGGTGGTATTGCAAATATATGCACACATTTTGGCAATAAATAATGCACCACATTTCTGATACCACGACATACTGCATGCCTTTCAATCCAGAATCATTACTTGCTGGATACTTGGCAACTTAATCTTCCTTCCACACTCCTCCACATGCATCTGCTGGGTGACCTTGGGTCAGTCAAAGTTCTCTGAGAGTTGTTATCTCAAGAGCAGTTGTCTTAGAGTTCTCTCAGTCCCACCTACTTCACAGGGTGTCTTGTTGTGTGGAAAGGAAGAGAAGGAAATTGTAAGCCGCTCTGAAACTCCAAGTGAATGGCAGAGTATAAATCCAATCTCTTCTTATTTTTCGAAAATGACCAGAGGTGGAGTTTAAAAAGAGCTGTGTGAGGTTTAGTTCCCTTCTGGTATTGACTTGAAAGGGGGATCAGAAAGGGGGCAAACAGTGTCCCAGTGCAAAAAAAAAAGATATCAGTGCCGCATACAAACAAGTGGGGGTCCTCCGTGCAGAATGAAATTGACATGAGATATAAGGAGAGCGAGACACTGGGATGGGAAGCCTAAAGCTTTGGGGGAGAAATTTCCTTTAATGCTTTAGTGAGAAAAATATGGGAGGGGGACCATTTTGGCAGTCTCCAGAAGCCTAAAATTAAAATGTTGCCTGAGCCACATGGACCTTCTGCAAATCACCAAACTTAAGAATCACTTGGGATCAATCCATTTGGAGGACAGAGTTAAATCCGCACAGTACAGGCTCTAAAAAACTGCCACGATCATGACTGTGCATGATCAAATTAGAGAATCACAAAGAGAAAACCACCAAATTTGCAAGGAAGGGCAGGAAATTAGTGTTACTATGCAGCTGTGCTAGGGTATTGGTGAAAATACATCCAATTTTTTTTTAATTTAGTGGGACAAGACTAA